TGCTGGGGCGGCCTGTTAGTGGGCTGGGTGCTGCCCCAGCTTGGAGGCAGCACCCAGCTGGATCCAACTCTCCCCTGAGATCACCAGGGCTTCCAGCACCCTGTGCATTGTCCCTGCTGCCTTCCCACCACCTGGGACCACCCATGAATGGGCTGGACTGTCCCTGCCACAGCACAGGGAGGCAGCAGGAGGGTGGTTTGGTGTGCTGGTGGATGGAGAATGTGGTAGGGATGGTGGCGGGCGGGGCGGCGCATGAGCGTGGAGCCCAGGCCAGTGCCTATGGCAAGGGTTGGTGAGGCCCAGGGTGGGGTGGCAGGAGTGCAAGGTCCACTCCAGCATGTGGTGCGGGAGTGGCTGGCAGATGGGTGGGGAGGAGCAGCAGCAGTGAAAAGGGGGGGGCAGGGGGCATGAGCACAGAGCCCGGGCCGGCGGGGTGGCAGGAGTGCAGGGCCCAGGGCAGGGATGCAGGAGTGCGGGGTCCAAGCCGGCAGGTGGTGATGGAAGGGCAGAGAAGCAGCAGAACCAATTATATTTATTTACATTCATTTCTGTAAGAAAATGGGTTTTGCTTAGCACAGTTCCACTTAACGCTTGGGGTTTTTTTGGAACCCATTAACAGTGCTAAGCAGAGGTTGCCTATAACCTGCTGGGCACTGACAGTGTTGCTTCTTATAAGCAGGCAGCCACACCCGCAGGGCCAGCTGGAAGTATTCCACAGGGGGCAGTTTAACCTGCCAGCTGCCCTGACCCCTGACACTTGACCTGTCTTCTGAAGTCACAATTCAATTTCAGAACTTCATGACAGCACCAAGAAAAAAGAAATAAAAACAAGGAGGAACCCAGAAGCTTGTTTCAATTTAATAATGAGACATAAAACAGTAAAGTTTATCTTTTTTAATGATATTTTTAAAGCTCTGTCTAGTAAAAAATACCTTTTAATATGGGATAATGTAGAAAATATGGGAAGAGAATTTTTTTGTTGTTCCTTTCTCTTTTTTTGATATTTTCACCTATTTTTCCACACTAAAAGCAAAAAAGTCAAAAGCATGAACTTCTGCTACTGAAGATGGCAAATATATTTATGTTGGAAGGCGCTACTAATACAAAATATTTGACTACTGACAGCCATAAAATACTGTCCACAAATAAATCCATTTCTTCAATTTAATCAGTATTCAAAGTGCTTGATCTGTTCCAAGAACTAATCTCATTACTGAGGAAGAAGAGGGGAAGGATGTGTAAAAGAGACTGGGTTACTGAAAGATGCCTACATCTCCAAAAGTAGCTGGAAATTTCATACGCGGCAAAAGGTAAAGCAAAGAAAGATAAAGCAAAGGAAATATTTTACAGTAAAGAAAATGTTAGCTCTCCTTCAGTTTTTTACTCACATGCCACGTATGTAACTTTCTCCTTATTCTTTAGTCTCAAGATCTTTTGTATACCTTATTGCAATTCTATTTTTTTCTCTACTAATTAGTAGGGGAAGGGGGAACACTTATCTTCTTATGTCTTAACACAATATCTTCTTTAGTCCCTTGTAGTTTAGTGCTCAGATGACAATTTAAAAACTCACTCACTGAATAGCCGTATCTTCACATGTCACACTCTAGGGAGTAATAAGTTAAACTAATTTTACTCACATGATTTCTGAAGATCAATGCCACAACTCCACCAATTAGTTCAATCAGTAGACAAATACCAAGAATGTACATAAACTGCAAGACATAATTGCAAAAAAAATCTGGTATACAATCAAGATCTTATCTTTTTTATCAAGTAATCTGTTTAAATCAGGAACTTTTAACTATCAATATTCTTAGCAATTCTCTGAATTAAATTGCATTTTTGGAAAAAAAAAGGATTCTTTAAAATAAATTGTTCATGCTTGAGAAACCCTCTTTTCCACTTTGCTCATTCTGCCTTTTATCTACTTGACAGAAATTTACTATTTCCATGTTTTGAATGGAACAGAAATAAGTGTGATATAAGTGGTAGTGCTGCCAAAAAAATCCTTCCCCCTCTTTACAACAGTATCATAGCTCTTAGAACCAGGGGAATGATACAAGTCACACAGAACATTACGTTTGTGTACTTCCTGAAAGATGGTTCCTATTTATAGGTTTAAATTTGTTGGCAACAGTGTTTAAGAAACTCTAAAGAATTTTCTCTGTCAGCTCAGCACTACTGAAAGCCAAATTTTGGCCCCAAATTTTGGACTTAGGTAGTACTAAGAGTGTGACCTGGGAGTGCTACTTTTAAAAATAGAAGCTCAGCAGCATAGGACTTTTAAATTAATATTTATGTAAAAAAACCCTACTATGCTATAAGTGAAGCATACCAGTACCAGAATGATATTCCAAGTTACAGGATGCTTTAGGTATGTAAGAATGTTTAGACATTCATTTAAAAATGTTTTAAAGGTTGGGTACATTTTCTTACATGAAAAACCCTTCAAATCATCTTTTTTAAAAAAAACCTCCCATGCCACCAGTGGAATCCCAGTGGAAAAGGGATCTGATGATCTCTTGTGTGAGACACATCAGTCCCTAACACATGGAAAGCAGGCCTAGATCAATACTCACCTTAGAAGCTGAAGTGTATTCTTCTGCATCAGACTTGGGAGTCTGATAACTTTCTTGGGGTGTGCTATGCTCTCATGACTGGCAGCAGTTACAGGTGAACAACTACTACAGTCCCCTTTTTTCCAAAATGTGGAGACAAAAAACTAGTGCCGTGGCAGGCTGAAACTTTCTGGATTTCCTGCTTCTGATCTACTCCTTTCTCTCTCACTTCTCTTCAAAACTCTAAATATGAGTGACTCAGGAAAGCACAGTTGCTCACTCATGAATACACATATACATGCAAAAGCTGGAAGGAAAGTCCCACTCCAAATACCCCAAACCATTCACTTCAGAAAAATTAGCTTTGGTTTTATAAGTTCAGAGACTGACATGAGTGTCACAAGCCATCTGGAAATACCAAACAGAAGTCTTTCTTCTGATAGAGAGAGAATTACACTGAGAAATAGGCACCAGGAACTTTCATTTTTCAAATACCAATACTATGTCATTAGCAAGAACAAGAAAGTTCCCCGCATTAACTTGGGAAGACACCATAATGCAGAATTAGAGACTCTCTTCTCATTCTGTTCTGTTCTCAAGTTCTCAGCAATTTGTGTGTTGTATAAAAAACATAGCTTAAACACTTTCATAGTCTATTTCAATTCCACTTTTTAAAATTACAAGCACTTTACATTTTTGTTTGTATAATTCATATTTTAACTATATCAGAGATAAAATTTGACAAGTGAGTAAAAATTATATTTGCATTTTTTTCTTATTGTAACCTATAATTTAAAATTTGTGAGAACATTCAACAAGGTGCATAAAATTACTCTGAAACAATTATTTTGCCCTGCCAGAGCCACTGCAGGGAAGGTAAAGAATGCAAGGAGGAAGGAGAGCCACCCCTGCCTCCATTCTGGTGCCCTGCACTGAGGCAGTACCCAAAATTAATGCCCTATTCATCCACCCATAATTACTGAAGCTTCAATGACTACAAAGTCTATAATGACTAAAAATAATTCATGATCCTCAGGGGCAGATCCAGAGGGGGTACACAGGGGGGACATGGTTGAACCCCTTTCCCCACTGTAGGTCACACATCAGTCGCTTCCCAGCACCCTGGATGCCTGCATCCTCTGTGGACTCTAAGGCATGGCTAGGGCCCTAGGCTGGCATGGGACACCTGGGGGAGGACCAAGCAGGGAGCAGTTGAGGAAGTGGGAACCTGCCCAGTGATACCACTGTCTCTGGCTGACTTGAGGGCAGGGGAAGCCTCAGGACCACTCCTTCCCTTCTCCAGCAGGGGACTACGGAGAAAGTCTGCTCAGCACCACATTTCCCCTGCCTGGCCTGGAGTTCTAGCTGCAGGCAGCAACTCTACAGGGTGCCAGGCTCAGCCAGGAATAGCACTGGCAGTGGGTGGTCCCCACTTTCAGTGCCCGCTCCGGCCACCAGGGGACACCACAGGACTGGGCAAGAAAGCACGGGCAGGGTGGACCTGCCCATCACTGCTGTCCTCACCTGAACGCAACTCTCCATGCAACTGCTCAAAGCTCTGGCTGGAAGGGGCCAGGAGCAGCTCTGGGGTTTCTCCCCCAACCCTGGGTCAGCTGGGGACACCAGCTGTGTTGGGCAGGTCCCTCATCCCTATGCCCTAGATAAAGGGAACCCATAGGAAAGCCCTGAGAGAGGAAGAGAGAGAATGGGAGGGGAGGGTGGGGAAGGGAAGTGGTTGCACTGGAGGCAGCGGGTGCCAAAAGGGGAAGGGAGAGAGTCTTACCTGATCTGGGTATTCATAACCCCTAACAGTTGCTGCCCTCGTGTAGTCTGTCTGCTGGAGGCGATGGGGTGGGCAGGACAGCCACCACCCTGCAGTGCTAGTGGCATCTCCTGCACCCCCTTTTTCAAATTCCTACATCTGGCCATGATGATCCTGGTTATCATCTACAAAATCCTTAATTTTCTAAGGTCCAATTACCTCAAAGACTTCCTCCTTATATCCTGCGTTATCAGTGACCCATGCAAAGAACACTTCAGGTATCTTTCTCAAGGATGTACCTCATGGAAGTTTGGGATAAGGCATACTCATATGAGATCCTTTGGCATTGATATTACCAAACACACACCTTCTTTCAGGGTGAAATATAAAATGTTTCTTCATTTAGGCTTTTCTTTCACTGCAGGCCCTAGAATTTATTGCAATACAGTTTGCTGACTATTTTTATCTGACATAGATCGGAACATTTGGAATTACTGCCACAGAAGATCTACTTTAGGTTTTAAAAGACATCATTTGGTACAGTTCTAATTTCACTGTACATGAAGTGTGTTTAGTTATCATGGACATGGAAATCTATGAATTAGTAAATATATACTACAGACATGTAGAATAGTAGTTTAACTGAAATTAACAATCTGGCCTTACTTGCTATTTGATTTTTTGCATGTTAGTGGTTCACTTGTCAAATTATGAAGATATGGGTAAGATTTTCAAAAGTGCTCAGATTTGGCTAATTCTGACTGTTGGGATCAATAGACTTAATATGTGAGCAGAATTAGGTCAATGGTGAAAACTTTTAAAATCCAACCTGTACACGTTAAATAAATATTGAAATGATTCATTAAAATGTTCCTGTGAAATCAAAGAGTCATTAGAATAAATCATAACTCTTTCTAGAGTAGTCTGTGCACCTGTATTTTATAGTCTCTTGCTAGTACTTATTGAAAAGTTGGGAGGGAGTACTAACTAAGCTATCTCAAACTGTTTATAAAATAAAGAAATCAGATGGAGAAATTATGAGGACTGGCTTCAAGCAACCTTTTTTTTTTAAACTATTAAATAATTCATTTTAAAATGTGAGTACTTACTGCTTGAAGAAGACATAAATTATCTCTTAAAGAAGCCAGGACACCCATGAAGGATACGAAGAACATCACAATGCCCAAGAGTATTAAAATAATTGCTGGGGCTAAAAAGGCACTTTCAAGTGTTTTGTATTTCTGTCTTTCAACCTCTGCATAAATTCCAACAGCCAGAACAAATGCTCCAATCAGCTGCAATGACAACAACAAAAAAACAAATACAGGTTTTATTGGTTATTCAATTCTAGCACTCTCCTCAAATACTGCGATCATACTTGATGAATATACTATTACATTTGAAGGAATATAGTGGCAGAACACTTAAGAAGTATCACTATAAATTCAGAACCCTCATTTGTTACAGACTTATGTTGAAAGCCATCCCCAGTCATTTCAAATGATGATTCAGACCCAGAAAGTCAAGGAGGCCAGACATGTCACTTCAGGCATTTTTACATGTGTTCCTGACACAGCACCAGGCGCTTCTAATTAGTGAGACATATTAATTTAAAGCACCCAGCGCTACATCAGGAATGAGTGCATCACAGGCGCAGCACACATCAGTACCAAGAAAATGACAGCGGTGTGCTTTGAGCTAAAACACGTTGAACATGTTTTAGCTATTTTCTCAGCACTGATGCACACTGCGCCACTGATACACATGACGTGCAAGGCTGCCAGTGTGCATCAATTTACATGCTCAAGCAGACTTGATTAATTGAGGCTGCTCTGGCGTGCTGGATTTCCCACATGTTGGAACAGGCTCCCCACATGTGTGTAAGTGCCCTTCTTCATCTTCTGTTGGAGTACCTTAACCACATTAGCCCAATAGGCCAGTAGGCTTGGGATGAACCTTTGACATTTTTTATTAAATGTGAATGTCACTACTACAATTATCTACCTATAGAATTACCTTGCTCAAGCAAAAAAACCCAAAATAACTTAGAGGTACTATTGTAAAATTTTACATATTGGGAAAAAATTATATTGTTGAAGTTTCAAAATGTACTTAAGATAATTTTAGAGTTTTTACAGAGCAGCTGCTCATAAATTGCAATTTATTTGAACACACTGTGAAAGTTAGCCAGCCTCTTTGCTTACTGCTTCTTCTGTAATATTCTCCTTTGTCTACTGTACATTGGTATCCAGGGTACAGTCCACGTTCAAAATGAGCCATATATAGTTAACAGTTTGCATATCTCTTTTTATTAAGAACTGATCAAAAAAAAGTCTGCTACAGAGAGTAGACTTTATCCTGCTCTGCTGATAAAGTGATTAACTCTAATTGGCTTCTACGATACATGATTACAGTCAATATAAATAGGATTTTTTGGGAAAAGGAGAGAATTAACATGCAGTTTGTCACAACCCAAGGGTGTGATTTTGTGTGTGCGCGCTTCAGCACTGCTAAATTATTTCCCGCCACGAGAAGCTTTCTTTGCAAGGTGCATTTCTCAGTTGCAAAGAGAAAACCCCGGTGCAAAGAAGTTCCCGCCACCCGCATGCAAATTTGTGTCCCACTATTGGCCAGTTCTAAATTATTCCCACGTGGCGGCTAGCGATTGGCTTGCTAGCCATATAAGAGGCTTGAGCGGTTTCCGCCCAAGTTGGAGGACTCCACAACCATCTGGAGGAGGAGGGCTTCACGTCTCGTGAAGAACTCTAAGCGCTGCGGAGCCTAACGGACCCAGCGTGTACCTTAAGAAGGCTATAGGGGTCTGATCAACCTCTGGCCTCTCCCTGTCGCCGAGCGCGATCCCTCGACGAACCCCTTCCCTGCGCGCAAGTTCCACGGAGCCTAGCAAACTTCGTGTGAGTGTATCCAGAGCTCTGTCCGGGTTCGAGTCCTG